ATGCATGATATTGTTTGGGCCTGTTTGGTTTGTTGTTGGGTTTTGGGTTTGTTTTTTTTCTGTGACACTGCACTGTTTTAGAAAGCAGGCTTAAATGTTGACAATTTACCAGCTCTGCCCACAGTAACCTGCCATTTGCAGTCTCTGTACAGTCTCTGACCAGCTCTGCCCACAGTAACCTGCCATTTGCTATACAGTCTCTACAGTCTGCCCACATAAAACCTAGACTGCAGTTTGGTCCAGAGAAAACAAAACAAACCCCAACACTTTCCACTGAAATGCTGATCTTCTGGTTTGCTAAAATTAGAAGTATTCAAAAAGTCCTATACCATTTTAATTTGTTCCTGTCACCTACATGAGTAAAAAGTGACACTTAATTAGTGGTTGGGGCACAGGCCTGTGAACTGGGCACCTCTGTTCACATCATCACACCTGCAGATGTGCTGTTAAATGGCCCGGTTGGTTTTTCTACTGTGTCTGGCCAGCTGTGCTGGGAATGCTGTGCTGGAGAACAAATGCCTGGTAAGGGCAACTACTGTAGGGTTATTTCAACAGGCAAGTCTGCTGCCAGCAGCAGTGAGCTGTGTGAGATGTTGAGGTAGAAATACCTAAGAACATTCCTCTATTTTGCATGTCACAATGCAGCACAGAAATGTGGAAACCTGCCTGCTGGAGTGTTTACAAGCATCATCAACAGCCAGTGTGCTTTTTCTATTCTAGATTCACCACACATTTCAACTAAATTTGGTTTCTGCATTACCTCCAAAAAAACTCAAGCAGTGTTCCTGAAGTAATTCTTGAAATGTTGATTCTTCTGCTTTTTTTTTTTCTTCTCCATTTTATTTGCATCACTAGGGGTGACAAGAGAGAGGCCTGCTCTGTACATTTCAGACTGGTTTGGAAGCACACGGTGGTCATAGACGTATTTCGGAGCACCCTGCTAAGCATGCACAGCTTGTGATTGTGGTCTGTCTTGAGCTGCATGCATTGGAGCACTGCCTGCAAAACAAAGCAGATGTTAAGAGTCCTTAATTTATAGGACTGAGGCAGAATACAGGCTGTTTTTCCCCTAGCTTTCCACTCACCAATAAATGCTTCACTGAGCCTAAATTTAAGAAGCAGCTTATGCTTTCCAGTAGAAGGCTGGTTTACTACAGAAGGTTTTAAGGTAACTCTGAGAAACATTGGTTGCTGGCCCCTCCCTTACAGCTTTGAAACTGGGCTCAGCGTGTGAGAAACGTTTGTTGCGCCAATTAACAGGCCCACACAGATCCCTCAGTGAAGCACAGTTTATTTACACTCTTGCAAGAATGGGTGACCTAAACAAGCAGGCACACCCACAGTCAGGTGAATAACGGTTTATATTCCCTATTCCCAACGCAAAGTTCCCTCCCCTGTTTCCCCACTGGCTGGGTAGCCCAGGGTTTACAGCCCATCCGATGCTTCTCATTACCCTGTAAGTTTCCCACCCCTGTTTACACGTTCCATTCTAGCAGTTTACTTTTTACCTTT